ACATACATATATATCGCGGCAATTCTGGTTAACACTAACGATTTACCACACTTACAACTCGCGTGCCGTAAATTCTGTTAGCGTGCAATTATGCTCTTTGTGTGTGTGTGTGTGTGTACAAAATTGTGTGTATGTACATATGTACAAAAAGAAAATAGAAATACCGCTCCATTTTGCGCGTCTTGCTTAACTAGTCGCGCGCTGTAAACGTAAATAAGAAACTTGTTAAGTAACTTTGTATATATGTTTGTTTATACAAAGTTATTTAACAAGTTTCTATATTTCATTATACTTTACATAACAAGATATATAATAATATACTCCTGTGTGTGTACCGTACTATAATTTTATATAATTTTAGTTTACTTATTTTATATACTTATATATATTATTTTTTGGTATATACACGCGCATATCGTGTGTGTATGTATGCATGTGTGTATTATCATCTACTTCGCGAAGAATGCGTAATTAAGAAAGTCGCTTCAATTTAGTGAGGTCCATTATTACGGTTACCTCGTTTAAGGGTCGGTGTTTTCCGCAGCCAAGTTCATCATGCCTTTGAGACCAGAAATCTTCGCGGGTAGATATATTCACTTTCGTCGGCACGCGGAAGCGTATTCGTCGAAAAAAAGGCACAAGGGGGAGGGGTTTAATTAAATTCCGCGGATTTCTCCCGTGCCGTGGCGTTTCGGGTCGGTGCATTTTCTGATTCTGCAACGAGAATCCTTATACGGCAAATATACGGCGAGTATACCTGCTTTTAGAACTGCACACACGCTTCGTGTCGTGCAGACGGCAAAGACAATCAAACTCGTTTGAAACTTTGACTTTGTTCTCAAATCCGAATAAAAAGAAGTATCAAATAGTATTAATGTATACGCTTATATGTGTCAAAGACACATCGTACAATTTATACATTGTTTTTAATTACAAAGAGCGTCTGTGCGCGCGATCGTTTTATTGACGCGTAATACGTCTTGTCGATCGTGTATTTTATACGTCTGTCGTTTGTAGCTCTTCATCCGCCCATATTTGCGTAGCTTACCCTTGAATCTAATCTCTATGATTGCGAACCGAGGTCGGGATTACATGATTTAAATCACTGACTCGTAAGTTTATATAGCTAATTTGAAACGTTTGTTCTTCGTGAGAACGAGCATTCTGTGTACATGCACAGAATACCTTGCATTTATCATTTGTCTATTAAAAAATTAGGAGTAGATTGTTTCAACTTAAATTAAAAATAAATATATAAATAAAAAATCAAATATAAACATAAATTTTCAGCTATTATTTCTGTAAAAATAGAAAATTATTATACATATTAATGTTTTATCACAAAGAATTAAATACACATCAAAATATGGAGAATGTAATACAAACAAACCGGTAGCTTCCAATTTTATTCGCAGATTCGGATAATATACGCACGTGTAATTAATCTGTCATTTCAACTGCAAAAAATTTACGTTTTAAAATGGCGAGAGAGAGAGTAATTTTATCTAATAAAAAAACATACAATACATTGTTTTTATAGTTCATAATGTTTTGAAAAAAACTTTAGTATGTATTTTGCGCACAGTTAAAAACTGAAATGTAAACTAATTGTTAGAAAATTTGAAAATCGGGATTGACTTCGAGAGAGAGAGAGAGAGAGAGAGAGAGAGGTCACGAAGTCTCTCGTGTACACGTATGCAAGAAGGAAATCGTTGAAAATCTGGCGCGATTCAGTCGGCGCGCGTTTCGATTGAAAACAAAAAGACGAACGTGGCACACGTCCGCCACAACTCTCGCGCGTATATCGACAGGCCGCCATGCAGCGGAGACCGCAACAGCACCGTACTCGTTATTTTCCTTCGCTAGCAAAGATTAATTCGACCGCGGCCCGATCCGCACCCGCGAATTGCGGATATAATTCGATGTCCAGCGAGATAACGAGATAATTTAATGAACAGAAGAAAAATATATATTACGTCATACATACGTTTTCCCCCATGAGTAACAAGTTTGTGAGAAAAATCATGCGTTATATCAATCGCAGTAATTCTTATAGATAATTATAAATCACACAGGCAAGAGATGTAATGAAAAAAAATTTGTGTGTGTGTGTGATATAAAAAATACCAATTATATAATAGAACAGGCATATAATTATTGTTATCTTGTACAATATATTCCTCTAAACACTGATCCTTTCCTGTAATTCATAATTAATATCAACTCTTTGCAGTCTAATGTTGAGTCTGACTCGATGTATCATCAAGTCCAACGTCGAGTGTCGACATTAATAAAATTAATTCGAACTAAATTATTTGAATGAGAGAGAGAGAGAGGAAAAAAATTCAGACTGCAAAGAATGTTAATATTTTATTTTGCTATCTTTTATATAATTCTTTTCTGTTATATAAATTAGAAATCCAATTTTTAAACACTCATTGCATGTAAATTTCACAAGTTTTCGTGTTACTAATAGACGAGTGAAATTTATGAGTTATTAATAAACGAACAACGCGTGTGAAAGTCTCATGTCATCGAATATTCGGTATAAGCAAGCGTGCCGCTTGCAAATGTCACTAAATACTCGGTTTAAATTATTTCGTTACAACAATGAAATTAATTAATTTAGCATGCATAGTTCGTTCGTGCGCAAAACAGCAGCCTGGGCGTTTGCGCGCACGAACGTATTCATTTTCGTCGGCGCGATCGTTAATATATACACGATGTACATACAAGTGCGAGTACCGAGACCAGATGTGTTCGCACGTGCGCACGTGCAAATTTAACGTGCCGACGTGCTCGCGTTACGTTAGCGTGCCTTGCTCGTCTCTCTCGCATCTGGGACGACGTTCGCGCGCTTGACGATATCTAGATACATTATCGCGTCATTGTTCGCGTTGAAACGCGTCGGGCCGCACATACTACACGCATCTGACTGCCGTCGCCGCGCGAAACATTATCTTCTCGTGTTCCGAAACTGTCTCGCCGCCGTCGCGGAACAGAGAGAATCACGGACCTCGACCGCCAGAAGTCGGAAGAGCGATAACGAATACGACGAGAAGCTTCCTCGTCGCCGTAGAGGACGCCAAAAAAGCGAAGTAAAAATAAAAAAAAAAAAATAAAAAAACATTTGTATCGCGCCGTGCGATACAATTAAAACTGACAGAATTGTGTGAGAGCGGAAGCTGCGTGCAACGCGCGCGTTGATATGGCCCGCGAGCGAGAATAAAATTTGTGCGCACGCCAAAATCGAGGACGCAAAACATTGATTTTTAGATGAGAAAGAAACAAGAAATAAAAATTAACCAAATTCTCATATAAATACACAATACAATTGCGTGGGAGTGAGGTTTTATGTAAATTTTCGCTAAACTGTTATCCGTTATCGCGAAGCTTTCCCACGCAAAATGACGCACCAGAGGAAGCCACAAAGCAGCAACGAACTTCTTCGAGAGTCGGCGCGAAGATAAGTAAAATATCAAAAAACAAAACGAATTGACACGCCTAATACAAGCAATCGTCTGAAAAAGTCAAACGCATTACTAATTATCTTTCTAGTTTGCAGCAAAATGTACGATCGCTCTGAGAACATTCTCACATCTACTTTGTTAAAACAAACTGGCGAGAGAAAGAGAGAGATATGCCTGTTAAAATAATAAATGTTTTTGATTGTTTTTTTTTCTACTTCGGTAAAAATTGCATCGCAAAGCAAAGCATTGAACGTATATTATTGTATAGATTAACTAGATGGTATGAGAGAAGAAGTTAAAATACACTATGTTTCAAATTATCACTGTTTCTCACACACGGTTAAAGTAAGTAGCAGCTTTTAAAGCTTTGATCCTATGAGGAAAATCTCTTGCTATCCTTTGCATGCGCTAAGATAATCCAAACAACATTGTGAGTTTATTTTAAGAGGATTTGCCCTCTTCTTGGATAGTTTTTGCTCATGAGCGTACAAGTGCAAAAAGAACGTGTAGCTGCTCTGTGAAATGAAAGGAGAAGAGAGAAAAGATTTGTCAATATCAATCAATAATAATTATATTTATCAATATCAATCGATAATAATAATTACCTAAACATAAATACCCGGCAAATAATTATTTAAACTTGTAAATATCACATTTAGAATTATGTAGTTGGTATAACAATGACCGTATATAATAGAATGTTACATAGTACCTAAATAAATAAGTTTCAATGTATAATGTATTATTCGCCAATATATATGTACAATATATTATTTCAAATCATTTAAGTCGACATGAGAATGCTATTATAGTAATTTTGTATCATCATCATTACCATCATCGTGTATTGTCGTCATTCTTTCTTATTACGTATGACACATTGGCGTTTTTTTGTATTGTCGATTCTCGCAATGTTGATTAGCTCTAATCTCGGCGTATCGTATCTTTCTATTCACGTCATGATCGTATGTCTACTATCCGCAGAACGAATTCAGTTAACTTCAATTAAGGTTAATCGGAGTGTCAGAGGCATCGATTCTTCAAATACCTAAATGTTCATAGCTCGAGTTGGTCGCGCCAATCACTTCACGGTTGCGCGCGTTCGCACGTTAAACCCAGGTCACACGAACTCAAACCTTGTGACGTCACTTCCAACGACATGTTAACACTTTGGCCGACCGGTTCGAAGCCGCCACGCGTAAACAACCGGCTTGTTGAAGCGCGAATACGCAGCTACTACCGGTCTGCTAGCTGTTAAACTGAGTAATAGACTTCCGGTCGATGAGCGCTAATAGCGAAAAGCCGATTATTAGGCTCCCGGTCGACAAGCGCTGCTAGGTGTGAACCGTCTATTTTGAAGCGGCCGATTGGTAAGTGTTAATTAATCATCTTCGATTCAATGCGTGTATATTATTTATTTATTATTATATCACAAAATTACTTTTTATACACGTACAAATTTTATTTTTCCTGATCGTATTACGTTGGAAAATTTTCATTTTTGTTTTTCAGAATAGAAAACTCTTCATCAAGACTTAGCAGTTGCAGAATATTATTTGATTCGGAGTTTAGGATAGACATATATACATATGTGATGACAGTGGGTGGTAACGATTGGTCATCGCGTGGCGGGAGAAACGGCCACTTGGCAGGGGAATAATAACGAGAGCCGGTCCATGGACACACGCACGCGGTGTGGCGAAGAGCTGTTGAAGACGAGAGTGAGAAAGAGACACAAACACGCGCGAGAGGCTTTATAAATCGCAAGAATGCACGTCGAAGCAGTGACACCTCGGCAGACGACAGTGAAAAACGCGCCACGACGACAACAGCGATCGACCGCGAGTAGCGAACGCATTTTTCACACTTAACGCGCGTGTTATATATTCGCGCGAGGGACACAATTATAAAAAGACGCGACGCGGAAGTTTCCGCGAAGGTACGAAGTTTTTCCACCGATGATCGACGAGCATTCGCGTTTTACTTTTCTTTATATAAGGCGGTGAAAAATCCTTTCGTTACACCTTCGGGAGAAAAAACTCGACTTGAAGAGATGATTCGATCACGATTAATTCGCCGTCATTCTTAAGTTTTTCTCCAACGTTTCTTCATCAAGTCTCGAACACTCGCGGACGAAGTCCCAACAAACTCGACCGCCATATTGCCGCATCGCAACCCGTACCCTACCTCCGGTCGTTCGCGTCGAGTTCATTCAGTCGGTTAATTCCTGCGGAAACGGATCGACCGGGACTCGCCACCCCGAAAAAGATTGCAAGATTCTTCGACACGCGGCTGGGGCCGACGTGCTCCCGGCTGCCGGTGCATCGATCGTTGCAAATTGGATTACCGTTGAGACTGGGCGGCGGGGACCGCTTTCGAGAGTAGGTACGAGAGCGGATTCGCGACGCTGCTCAGTGCCGCCGGCGTCGACGCCAAGTTTCCGCAACGAAGGGAGCGAATTTCGGCACCGTATTTTCGCGAAGTATATTGTGCAAGGCTTAATTCGGCTCACGCGCGAGAAAGAGCGGCCACCGTCTTGCAATTAGAATGCGCTGTTAAGCGAGAGAGCGTGATCCGGAGCAACGTGACCGAGGGGAAAAAAGAGTGCGCGCGTGCTGTAAGGCTGCGAATGCACGAACGAAACTTGCTACGCTAGCGGCGACGAGTCGGCAAACGAGTATCGTAGTAGTGACCAAGCAGGTGAGTAAATATTTTTTTCATGTACAAGTGTAAAAAAATTTTGCCGTCGATTTTAAATATCGTGAAAAAAACAGCCGTTCAATGTAACGATAAAAAAAGTCCAAGAGTCGATCCTTCTCAATTGATAAAACTCAATATTGAGTTACGAAATAAAAAATACAAAATGTCAAAATCTTTAATTACATCCGAATAATAACTATACGCGGAAAACGTACAATGAAAATGTGTGATAAGTAAATTTTCACACACGTGTATTTTCGCATAATTCTGGTTTTTTTTAAATTGGATAATATCCAGGTGTGCACACGCATATATTTTCCGTTTGTTAAACATTGCGGTAACGAGCTATATCGAGATTGACTTTATTTGAAAGATATATATATATATATATATATATATATATATATATAACAACCTTTATACCGGCGTAATTGCATCTGATTAAACGCGGCGGGCACGTCGATAGTCGCGCAGAAATTTACAGGGAGCACTTTGATTACGTTATCATAAATGGAGATCAAATGAAAATCCTATTAGAGCATTATGGAAATTTGATAACTGTTAATTAACAGGTACTATGCGAGAGAGTCTGATATATGCAGTCACATTCTTTATAGTTTCGATCACGCAATTACACCGTGTGTGTGTGTTTAATAACTTCGGCGTAGATAAACGGCTTTGAGAAAACATTTTTATACGAACGCACATTTCTCATGTCGCAACGTGTACGAACGACCTCAGTATAAATTAAGAATGAAGTGATACTTCAGCTTTTTCATTCGCGAGTTATCCGACGCGCAACGATAAAACGTGATAACAAGTGCGCTGTGAAAGAAACCGTCATCTCTCTGTCGGTTTACGAAGTACTTCCATTTGCAAACAGATAAACTTGTTTTAAATACAATAATCTATCTCTCCGTTGGATAGCGCGCTGAACTTTTGATGATAGGAACTCGAACGTCTTTTCTTTCACCAACGTGTTTCGTTAATTGCAAATTCAGAATTCATAACTCTTTCAGTTCTCCGTGCGCAGAAACTGCGTGCGCGCAGAAACTTTTATTTTTTATTGTTTCTCCTCACAATACACATCGTTGTGTACAATTCTTGGAGAAAAACAAGGTTAACTCATTGCGGTCTCATCGCACGTGAAGCACATTATGCACACATTTCGAAAAAACAAAACCTGATGAAAACCTCCGCAGTTTAAAAACGCGGCCGAATTTTATATGCTAGGCCACACACATGTCAAACTTGACCATACAAATCCCATGTTTTAAAACTCAGTGTTCAAGCAAGAAAAAAAATATCATGATTTTTTAAACTTCGATATTGCAACAAACATCTCCGAGAGAAACAGGTGAAGAAAAATTTTCAATTGTGTGATAACAAGCTAGTGTCTAATAGTCAACAATTATTTGGCTATTATAACGCTCGATGTAATTTCCGTCTTGATTGAACTCGCCGACGCATTATCTATTGTGACGTGCGAATTATCGCTAATCTGCAACCATGACGAGATAATAGATAGGAAAGGATCTGTACGAAGCAGTTTTTCTATTTTATCGTCGATAAAAGAAGCTTGTGTTTATTGAAGTACTTTATCAGCAACTCAATAATACAAAACTATATGATGTGGAAAACTGTCTTGATGTTCGCTCGTCGCAAACCGACGCGACACAAATTTTATAAACGGGAACCTAGATCCAAGGTCGATAAAATTCCGGCAAACAGGCCGGTTTATTTTTTCACGGTTAAAAAATATACAACGACAACGATGAATACGGCAGTGATCTCATCGATGTTTGACACGCTTGCTTCTTCCATCGCCATCGGCACAGCAGTCGACGCTATTAAAGTCACAACGACGATGTTCCTGACTGTCATTGAGAACGTGCGCCGTTATGTCAGCAAGACGTGGAACCCCGCTGGCAAGGTCGCGCGATTTAATCGCGGACTCGTGAAACGATTTCTTCGAGGTTGCGTCAAACGAGCGCAGGAGCCGCGACGGAGCATCGTCATCGCGCGTAAATAATGTTAAATGTTACAAATCTGCGTGTTGTCAGTCATTCTTCAAACAACCTCGTTTACGATGACGAAAGAAACTGGTTGTACGGTATTTATCGGGAAGAATGTTGAACAGCGCGCGCAAAAACTACTTCGTTATAATACACAAGCGCAATTAAAACGCAGATAAATTGAGATTGCAATTAGAGCAAATGCAATTGCAATATTAAGTTCAATTATCGTGCTAATTGGAAGAAGTTTCGTTAATGAATTTATCGAGTTCTTCTGGCACGCTCGTAGAAATTTCTCTCGTGTTTTGGTTACTAATAAGAATTTTATTGAAACTTGTATATATATTTTTGTTTATACGATTATATATTTTGTTATGTTAAGAAATAATTTCAGCTTTCTCTTGAACAGTAAACTTCTATTTTTATAATAAGAAGAGAGTACTGCACTTTTTTTCTCTTTTTCTTCCCGAGATGCAAATTGACAATAAATCCTCAGGCACAGAGAGTGCTACAGAGGATAGTTCTTTTTTTCCTTTTTCTGTATATTATATCGGTGTGCGAGCGAGCTATCAAACTGTCGCGGATCACGACAAAAAAATTTTGCGCACCTTGAACTCGCCCTCTTCCATCTCACCATCCTCCGCCGGGGGATGCAACGCTTATCGATCAGAGAGTTCACGGGTATAGGCGGCTATCGCAGTTACGTCGCGCATATAAATGCTAAATATCCGAAGTTGCACGTGAAAAACGTTGGCTCTCTCCTATGTATTTCGAGGATAATTTCATCCGCGTACAAAAACATAAAAAATAAGAAAAAACAAAGGCGAAGCAATAAAATAAAAACCAATAATTATTTTAATAAAACATATATATATGTATATTGTATACATATGTATAATATGTATATTTATATACATATTATACATATTTTAATGAGTTCCTTTCTTTTAACACATAATATATGTATGCACGTACGTAGGTATGTATACGATGTGTATTTTTGCGCGACAGCATTAAGCTTGAAATGAATGTACGAGATCCTCCATCTCTGTTGGATGTGCATCCGGCTCGCGGAATGTATTTTATATTCTCAATGTGTATAAACATGCATCTCTCTGACAAAAAATTGTCAAAGAAAAATTACAGAATGGAACAATTTGTTGACGCGGCGGCAGTACAAAAAACGTGTAACATATGTTGCACAAAAAAGACAATAAAAAAAAAAGAAGAAACATATGTCGCAAAGCAAATTAAAGCATTAAAAATTTGGTAAGAGTAAAATACACACACAGCACATTTTGCTTTAATGTTATTCTGCTTTTAAAACAAAAAAGCGTTGAAAGTTATGTTACCGTGTGCATTAAGCTGACACAGCTACCTTTTGTATATGTTTTTTTTTTTAAATATCAGTGTAACAAGCAGTAAAAAGGCGGACATTTCTCAAATAATAAAATTTACCGGGTGCAATTTCAAGCTGAAGTGCAAGCGGAGCACATAGAACACGTGTTTTCACACGTGTGCGTATTATATTACCCTTGAGTCACGATACTCAAGATTTTCAATTTTCTAGAAGCAGCTCTTTTCTTCATATATCACTTTAGATACTGAAAAGTTGACTCATACGATTGCTCTCAAACTCTGTTCATGCGAAAAATTTCAAGAGACGTCACGATGACATTGAAATTCACTTGAAAATTATACTCGTTTTGTAGTTGTGTTGAAAAGATATTATTTTCTTGATATTTTCCAGTTTTTCGAATCAACGTACACGCTTTACAATACATTTTGGATGTCGCATTCACTAGGTCCGACGACTTGTATACGAAATACATCTGGCCAAATGCATCTGCAAGTCACACAACGCTCGTCAATCTTCCGCCGTTACGGTCTGCGCATACACTACGCATGTCCTCTACGACGACGTATTAGTAGCAATGCGCGCATCAATTTTATCATACGTCGTACTTTACATCATGTTATTTTAGACGATGTTTTATATTACACGCATATATATATATATATATATAATTATACAATATTATATACATGCATGTATATAATATTGTATGTATATACGCGCGCGCGTATGTATTATATATATTTATAAAAAATAAATATTTTAGAAATATTATGTAAAATAATATTGTATATATACACGTACATATATAATAATATATAATGTTTTTATAGAAAAACATGAATTAAATACTCGTTGCAAGTAGAAGATTATTGAATTTAACTACGTTAACAACTAGCAACTGGTTTAGAGCTCAATACGAATCAATGTGTTTTTTTAAACGTGTAAGTTGAAAAAATTCAAATAGATTTCAATTTAAACATTTATATAAAATGTTTAATATTTGTATCTTCAATATAGAAATGATCATTTCTCTGTGAAATTTAAAAAATTTATCGTAAAAAAAACATTTTGACTAGAAGTCGAACTTGGATTTTCGCATTCCGTGCAGTCACCTTACCAATTCGGCCACCTTCAGGCGAATATCTCTCGCAATGTTAAAATATGACTTGTAATCCACGAACTACCGTTAACGTTTCATTATAGTTTTCATTATCTCCGAACTTTATTGCCGAGGCGAAAACGATTCTTCTCGAGAGAATCGTGCGAGCTCCGGAGAAAGCATATTTCACGCCTTATCCGGTGAACACATCACGTTGGAACGTGTATGTGTGTGTGTGTGTGTTTGCGTGCGTGTTCATGAGAGTATAACATAAGATCATCCTTGTATTATTCTCTTATCGCTCAGCATGTCTCGATAGAAGAGGTGCCAAAGCTCGCAATGATTCGCCTATAATCTAATCTGTCTCTGCCTTGTTTATAAGATACGTGCAATTTAGCGTTCAAGAAAAAATGCCGAGAAGAGATCATCATCTCATTAAGAGACAATGAGTATCTTACGTGTCTTTTGTCGAACACATCACGATGAAAAAATTATCCCATGAATAAATTACATACGCGCAATTATT